TAAAGTTTGAGTTAACAACTGATTTTTCGATTAAAAATAGTTTTCTATACAAAATTATTAGAACTGACTTTTATATGAGGAAATTTGTTTAGACTATTTCATTCCAGATTTCTTTCAATGACTCGGTGTTTCCTGTGTTTCCATGAAGAATGAATGAATGAGTCACGCCTAGGAATTGCTACAGGACGAATGCAAAAATGACTGAGTGATTACATTTGACGTCTATGTTTTCTTGTAATTTATCGTCATAGAATAAATTTCATATGCTTAGTAACTATTGAGCAATTCTGCTGACTATCTTCGATGTATTGTTTTACATTATATGATTGGAATACCAAGAAAACGTTATTCACAAATTATGATAATCTATCACCAACCTTCTGTATCATTGTAAAAGTAATCATAACTGAAAACATTGAAAGTCTAAATTCATCTGAAATTCATCACATTTCAGACGTTCTCCTTAATAGAAATTTCCACTTATCAAATACACAAGCTGATACAGTCAGCACTATCGACAGATAGTTACATACTTTACTTCGTTTTATAGACACTGTAGTGCACTTTTTAACGTGATCATATGGCAAAGTCGTTCTGTTTTTTTTTTTTTTTTTTTTTTTTTTAGTCCCCTACCGGTTTACCGGAGGGGACTTTAGGTTTACCCTCCGTCCGTCTGTCCGTCCGTCAGTCCGTCCACAAAACTGGATCCCGCGATAACACAAAAAGTACTGAAAATATTTTAATGAAACTTGACATATGGATAGATGGCAGTATGGAGATTATGCACGTCTTTTTCTTTTCTTCCTATGTTGAAAATTCTGGTTGCTATGGCAACAAATAGACTGAAAATATGGCAAATTTTACACATAACCTGGATCCCGCAATAACGCAAAATGTACTGAAAATATTTTTATGAAACTTGATATATGGATAGATGGCAGTATGGAGATTATGCACGTCTTTTTCTTTTCTTCCTATGTTGAAAATTCTGGTTGCTATGGCAACAAATAGACTGAAAATATGGCAAATTTTACACATAACCTGGATCCAGTGATAACACAAAAAGTACTGAAAATATGTTTATGAAACTTGACATATGGGTATTTGGCAGTATGGAAATTATGCACATCCTTTTCTTATATTCCTTTGTTGAAAATTCTGGTTGCTATGGCAACAAATAGACTGAATTTCAAGATTTCTGATTCTAGTTTTTAAGTTTTTTCACTATAAGTTCTTTATTTCTTAAGGTATTTTCTTCAAACTTTAAATATAAGTTGCTTGTAATCAACCACATCATATGTGACAAGGTTTACAACTCTAGCACAAAATTTATCAGAATTACCTCCCTTGAACTTAAAATTTTCATGAAAAAACATTGTTTTTTTTTTTAATAACTTCTTTTTCTGAATGTATCTACTTCAAACTTCATATAAATGTTTCTTATTATCACTCAACATTTGTGATTGTTCAATACTCTAGCAAGACTATTTCCAGAATTATGCCCCTTTTGAACTTAGATTTTTTTTTTGAGAAATTGGTAATTTTTACTCCAACTTCTTCAATCATGATAGGATTTTAAAAATGTTATATTTTGATAACAGGGATGTTTAAAAAATAACTTTAGAGTGTCCTCCAGTCCGTCTGTCTGTACATAAAAACTGTTTCCTGTGATCACTTTTAAAGAACTTTTTCAACAAATTTACTTAAAATAGGAACATAAGTGAATGGCCAATGGCCCTTCAGAATGTTGCTTGGGCTCTTACCGGTAGGGGACTTATGGATTGCTTGCAATACTATGATAATTGCTTGTTTTTTTCGTTTCTTGTTTCAATGAGAGAGAAAGCCTAAACGGATCTTAAACTAAATCCTGTTCATTTGAAAATCAGAACACTGATCTGTTGTTGTTGTTGTTGTTTTTGTTGTTGTTGTTGTTGTTGTTGTTTTATAGAAAAGCAGATTGTCTTAAGAGCGTCAAAAACGGCAAATTAAAAATGTTTCAGGGTCGGTTTGATTGCATGCTACCATCCCATACTACGAAGCCATTAGCATCGGCCTGTGACAAATTAAGTGAAAATGTCTTTAATTCTGTTGCTTAGCTTGTCATTTTCATCAAATAAAAGAATCTAAAGTCCTATATATCATCATCATATCATTTTCTTCAACATCATTTAATATATTTCATATATAAATTAATAAAAATAAATAAATATGTTTTTTTACATGCATCAAATTAAGAAAGTAAATGATGTTTTTTGTACTTTTCTAAAAGTACACATTCTTGTCATACAGCCAGCTCAGAATTACTGATTAATTTATAGTGAAAGGCCAGAATACAGCAGATAAGTCAGGAATGCTGGGAATGATCTGGGTAGTGTTTAGAATGCAGCATGAAATACATTTCAATACTTACAGAATATATGTAATTTCCGTTAGATTAATGAATTGTATATTTTATACGTAAACATTAATTTAATTGTTTTATCTACCATTATATATAATTATAACATCCCTCAATTATAGACGTTAATTTTGAAACAACTTAGATACATGATGAATCATTGTTGTGAATAAACCTACAAGAACTTTAAAAGATCTGATTTAAAAAATAATAAAATATTTTAAATTGTTTCTTTTATAACTTATTCATGTCATTATTCAAACAACACCATTATTATCAAGGGTTAGAAAAAAACCCTTCTATTTCTCTTTTTATTCGTTAGGGGTTGTTTTCTTTCTTTTTCATTTTTTATTCTCCTAAGATAACACTGTACAAATATAGTTAATCAGCAAATTGTTATTACTTTGTACCGGTGAATCTTTTTCTGAATGTGCAATGAGTATTTTTTATAAGTGGCATCAAACTTTTAAATATCTTTTTTTTTAAATAAAACTGATAAAAGTTGCTGATATTCGAAAATGCCACTTATTTGCTTTGTCTTTTGCCAAAAGTACCATTTGACATATGTTGTTGCATAGATTCAAAATTAAAAACTAGAAGAAACACTTGTTCGGTTTTTTTCATGTTATTTAATTAAAACCGTACAGATTACATCAAGTTACATTAATGTTAGTTTTACCTTGCTTGTTTATTTGATTGAAGTACCATTATGCACTACTTGAACTTGAATAATTTCATCTGCAAAATAGATGATAACATTAATTAAGATAATTTGCTTACCACATCTTAGTATTTCATATTTGTATATTATTTTATAATGGCAAAAACATAGAAGAAAATATCTATAAACTTTGTCTACGTCATATTATTCGGTTTTAATGTTTTTTATTCACTAGTTTGTTAAAATATATATATATACTTTACAAATTTACAAACATATCTCAGATACCTACGTCATGTTCTTCGTTACATGTAACATTCGTAAAATAAACAATGTTTATTATCGAGTATATAAAACTTCAAGAAAAGACCAACAACATAATTTCACTGTTTTTAAATTTTTCCAAAAAATAAATGAACACATATAGCTTTATACAATTAAAAATAATACCATTTCTAAATACATAACACAATATTAAATTCACTTATATATAATTAAAGGGACTCCACTAAAGTTTTTTGACATGATGGAACTGTAAATATTTTTTCCAGATAAATGTACCATTTGATGTAAGTTTAGACCACTAATCTTTGTGAAAAATTTCAAATTATTTCCACACTTCGTTTTTCCAGAATAATTATTCAAAATGAAAAAATAATGACCCACAATGAAAAGCGTTTAAAAGCTTTTCATTCAAATCAGACTAAGAAAAGCATAAAGATACGATTTTCAATTTATTTTTAAAGTATATTACTTAACTATCTTTGCATATTTTCTGTTTTAAGTGCCTTGCTCATTTATGTAAGAAATTCAAATGTTATGTTTTTATGCTTTTAAACCTCAGTAGAGTCGTAAATATTCTTAATATATAAACACAACATAATCATGGACGGATACAAATACAATTTAATTTACAACACTTATAATATAAATAACTTAAATAAAGTTTTAAGAGGAGGTTAGATTTTTCAATTAGTATTCATTAGTTTAATTCTGCGTTAAAAAGCAATTATTCCGACTTTTCAAAGTTTAATAAGTTTAACCACTATAATTTAGAGATAATATTACAGTTTTAATTAAAAACAATAATGTACTGACTTAACATTATCTAAATTGAATATTTCATATAAATTTGACAGAAGGTTGAAAAGGTGCGCATTATCTAGACATATTTCCATACTTTCATACAAGCCAATTAACTTACATCCGGATATCGTTACTATGCGGACGCTCTTAAAAGTTATTATTACATCTTAAATTTTCTATACGACTCACCAATTTTCAAACTTTTAGTTTCGATTACCAAACCTATATTCTTTGAAATATCAACCCATTCTTTTTTGCTTTGCTTTTTATTTGTACATAGGTATGTTAGGTCACTGGATCACATGCGATGATTATTATAGTCAAATTTTGAGTTTACATACATTAAGGTATATGCCGTCCAAATTGGAGATTACAGCTAAAGATATAAAAGTACGCTCATGATCCTCATTCCGATCATTGACGGTCAAAGTCCAATACTATATGGCTAAAGTAAACATTGAAAGTATACCGATTGTTAAAGTTTAGAGCGATCTAATTTAGAAGTTTATTCCACACACAGAAAAGTATGTTGCGAATCTAAATTTCAAATTCTATAATCTTTATAATTTATTCAACTTATCTTATTTTTGTTCATGAACGCACTCTTTATAAAAGAAATACCAAAAGTCACATTAATATTAAACATCTTTTGAATACAAATCGCAATTAATATAAAAGATCCAGTGATTCATTTGTTTATTTGTCAAATATAAAACAAACAAGAATTATATCTAAAATGATGAAAAACCGTGGGCTTTTTACAATAGTTTCATTTTCATACGTTATTAATTTTTACGTTTTAATTGGAAAAACGTGTAATTACTTATGTTAAATCCGTTTTTTTATCTAATTTGGCTACACTTTTCAATTTGTAGGCGGTGTTAGTCACCAGTTGTGTTTATATAACCAACATGATGCAGCTACTCACATATACAAGTGAGCTCTCACTGACGTTAATGACAGTAACGGTTAAGAAACTGAAAATAAAAATGAACTGTATAAGCGGTGTTATTGTTGCGTTATGCTTTGTCTTACAATGTTCAACAGGAGTACCGATTGACAAAGGCAAATATATTACCAAGGAGGGTGTCGCAGATAAGATAATTGAGCTAAGTCAAGAGATTGAAGCACTTCGAAAGCGGGTGGTAAATCTGGAAGTAAACATGGCAGCAGAAATTAAAGTTGACTTGACAGTGCCAGATGCAAATATACAAAGTAATCATTACAGACGAAAAAGAGGTAAGTCAAACTTCAAATGAAAGTTGTCTTTGCCTTGTTGATCTTTTTCCCTCCCTCCCTCTCTTTGCTTTTTTTGTTTGTTTTATTTGTTTGTTTCTTTTTTTATAAGTATTTTTTTGTTACTTATATCATTTATTATTTACGATCGTGTTTCCTTTTTAAAAAAAAAAAGGAAAAAAGAAAAGACATGACCATAACCGATTATCAAAGTTTACTACAGAAAGACAATAATATTCGTTTTAAAGTAAATTATGTACTACAAATACATAGAGAAGAGAAGTTATTTTTTGTAAGAGTAACAGTCACTTTAAAGAACCAATAATTTCATTTGTTCAATTTCTTTTCTTAATAAATAAGATATTTCAAGTCATTTTATAAATTTCATTCACAGCAAGTAGAAGAAGACGCCGACCCGAAGTTGCATTCCAAGCCACTCTGACAAAACCGTCGGCAACATTTAAAATATTAGACGCTATCAATTTCAATAACGTTGTCACAAACATAGGTAATGCATACAACGAACAAACTGGTATTTTCACTGCTCCTACATCTGGAACTTACATGTTTAATACAAATATTGTAGCAGGAGTAGGACATTATGTTGAAGCGAGTATCAAAGTGAATGACAGAGTGATTGTCTCTGCAATAAGTGATCACAGAGTGTCGGATGATAAAAATAGTTTGGCAGTTTGGGACCAAGGAAATGCTTCATCTATTATAAGACTTAAGAAAGGCGACAAAGTTGTTGTTTCCATTCAATGGCCACAGAAAAACATTGTTATTCATGGTATGGGAAAATCAAGTTTTTCTGGATATCTATTAAGGGCATATAACTTAATGGTGTGATTTTCAAAATTGCAAAAAAAAAGATTTTAGTAAGTGTGGATATCGTGGCTTGCAAGGAAAAATTATCAAATAATGATGCCTTTGTGAAATAATGTCTTTTTCAGACACTTATAGTCACGAACGTTTACTCTAATCTGAAGGCAACATGCTATATACAAAAACATCAACAATAAGAAAAAAAGTACAAGTAATAGAAAAACATAGTACAAAAAGTTTTATATCATTTTTTTTATTCTTTTTATTTATTTTTTACCCCTTACAAAAGTGTTGTGACATTTCCAGAAGTGCTCTTTAATTGCAATAGTCATAAATTTTATATATCTTTATTATATTTTGTACTACTTATTCATACACTGAATTATAAATTGCTTACTGCTTACTGCATTAGAAAAGTAGCTTTGTTCTTTATTTAACAGAATATATATAATCTATATCCAAGCTTATATATTTTTGTTGTGTTTATTGTCTCATTGCACAATATTCATTTCATAAAGTTTCTGATTCACTTTCTTTTATCATTCAGTAATAATGTAAGTAGTAGGGAATGTTAAAATTAAAACTTTTCATTTGTTGCAAACTTTTTTGCGTGAAGTCAACACATTAACTTACAAATTTATTGTAAATTGTGTAACGAATAGTAATACGCAGCTTCTTTGTATTTTTCCTCCCCAGAAAGTATATACAAAATATGGATTGTTTAATCCGTTTCAAACTTCCTATTTTCCCCTCCGTGACACAATTTACCCTCTCCATGGGCCTAATGTGAAAAAACACTGATTTCTAAATTCTCAGTAGCCTGGAAATATGTAATGAAAACTTCTTTAATAAATGATTATTCAAACAACTAGTTTTCATCATTGTAATACAGCAATAGTGTTAACTTACTGCTTATATACATTTGTTACATGTTTTTATTATGTAGAACTTCATAGATACTGGGATTACAAAATATATCCATAGTCATGCGTTTTACTCCTTACTTCAATTATTTTTTTGTATTCTTTCGGCTTAATTCAATTATTTATTACATACTTTGGGCTTACCTTTATTTTATTTATTACATTCTTTAGGCTTACGTTTATTTTATTTGTTACATTGTTTGGGCTTATAGAGTCATAATATTTTACGTCAGGATTAATTGTTTTGTTTGATTTATTATGTTCAGGGTAATTTCTACGATAAAATGTTAAGACTGGAAGTTTACTTTACTGTTAAAAAATATTGACTGTTATAATGGTTATTTACTAACAGTTTATACTGGAAAAAGTGAAGAATATAATATTAATAAAATCTGCTGCCCCACTATTTTTTTATAAATTGAACGTTACGTGTATAATCCGATATATATTTACAGAAATTTCCTTCGGCCATGCGAGTTATTTATCGTTCATGCGATGTAAATTATAAAATTCAAGGTATTATGGCAAAATGTAATTTTGTTTTCACTTTAACCTGTTCACTCACTACATACCCTTGGATGGGCAATATGACACCGTTAATATTGCCCATAGAAATTCATTTAATTCAAACATGATTTACTTTGTACCAATTTTGTACTGCTTTTATCACTTTCACGTATCATTCGTGTCTGTCGTAGAATTTTTATATATGATATTTGTCATTACAAGAGCTCGCCCATATGGTTCATTCCGGTAGCGAGGGTAAATCACACACGCTCACACGCACGCACACACGTACGCACACACTCACACACACACTTTAACAATTTGTTTTATTCAAATCGATTGTGAAGCTTATAGACGCTTTCGAATCCGTTCCAGCACTGAGCAATGAGTGTAAAGTTTCTTGCTCAAGGAAACAACGGCTTGCCTCTGATTGGGATTGGGTTTGACCCATGCGGCAAGCGATCATTAGATTATTTGTCCGAAACGTTAACCACCCGACCATTTTTCATGGCCGAGTAGTTAATGCCTTAAACAAATTATTTTTTAAACCAATGAATTGATAAATAGATGTTCCAGTATTTAACTTTTTGTGATAACTTGTTCTGTCCTTGCTTGTTAGATTTTTTCTTTTATTTTAATTGTTATTATAATTACAATTATTTTGTTGTTTTTTTTTTGTTGTTTTTTTTTTTGAAAAGCCATACCACAATAAGATGTATTTAGTCTTGTTGTTAGTCCAAGTATGTACACATTTATGTTACGTTTTTGAAATAAAGATTTTTAATTATTATCATTATTATTATCCATCAGACACTACAAAATGATGGGTAGGTGACAGGAACTGTTGCCGTTGATGACAATTTAACAGGAATGTAACAGCTTGTGGAATGGCGTTCCAATGCACCAAGTTCCTAGTTGCAGTTTGGTTCGGCCTGACGAACTACAATGAGGACCTGCTATATTTCAATGAAATTTAAATCCGGGAATAAAATATGTCGTAACCACAGGAAAAAAACATGTTGTCCTGTTTGTCTTGTCACCATGTATCTAAAAAAAGGTATAACAAACATTCGCTTTGTCAAAGTGCATTACAGATACATTTTTGTTTCAATTTGAGCAGAATTAAACACAATACACACTCAACCTACGCTTGGAAAAAAATTGTCAGTTGATACAACGACATGATACCTGACACGAGACATCATCCTATTTACAAATCATTATCTTTAAGTTTCAAAACGTGCTTTTTAATTCGTACACGAAAATGAATCAGTTTATTATTATTCCAAACTTGATCATGAATTAATTTACTATAGAAAAAACATCGGACAAATGGAGGTTGTTTCAGATTTGCTAGACTTGGTAGACATCTGATATAGTTATAATGTTATATTTTTTTTGAAAGCCACATTACGCCTCAGAAACGAAAATTGTTTATTTCTTTAGAATAGGCAACCATTAATTTTAAAATATCTAAATAAAGCATTTAAGATGTTTTTATCTGAAAAAGCGCTTAATAATATGTCAGAAAAGTAGCAAAATGTTAACAAACTAGTATTTTGACTTCCATACAGAATATTTAATCAATAATAACAGAAAATATAGTTCAGGTAATTGAGTACATAAAAAATAAAAGCTTTTGAGAAATAAAAGTAAAGGCATTTCTGGGGAATAATGGGCACTTAATGAACAAAAAACAAATCACGTCCCTGCCTTCATTCTATGAAAACCCCCGCAATAAGTACATTTCGGTTAAGTATACTGGCATTAAATGATATATCAATAAATTAGCAGAGAAATTGTGTTAAGAATTTGAGTGAAGATCTTCTTTAAGAATTTCAAGTATCTTATACTTGCACTATCTAGTTCAGCTGTACTGCATTTGATATAAGATTTATCCCAAATAATCGCAGGTATGATATAAAATTAGTTACACGCTTCAGTGAATTAAACATAACTTTTCAATAGTTCAAAGATTATCAATTATCATAATTTATAACTTACGAACAATTTTCCATTTCCGTCGATCCTATTATGATAGCAAGTTTTATATTGTGTTTCAACTTTATTTCCTGTCAAAATCAGAATGGCAATTAAGTGTCAACATAATTGACCTACAATGGTTGTGACATAGATTGATTGTCATACAGAAGGATCGGTGTATGACGCGATTTCTTGAATGGTTCTGTTTTGTTTTTGATATTATATCTATATAAGCAGTCATTGTATATTGTGAATTGTTTAATTCTACTTGAAATATGCGTGCGATTTATCAACTACTTCTTTAACCTTTATTACACATGATCGTTGTTTGAGGACAAGTAAAAAAATCAGTAATCATTTCATTCATTTAACGGCTAACATTTTAAATTATATTAAAAGAAACATTCATTTTTAAATTTCAGTGTAAAATTTTTTCAACCCGGGTTTAAACCCATAAAATAACGTTTAGCGGGTTTAAAATAATGATTTTCCCGAAGATTTTGGGAAAAAAAAAAAAGGCTAAAATTTTTAAAATTAAATTTCAGCCAACAGGCCCAAAAATGAAAAAAATTTGAAACATTTTTATGCAAAGTATTCTGCACTTTGTTTATACATATAAAAGGGAAAAATCTATGCCCCTTTGGGGGCGGGGTCCTTTTGCCCCCGGGGATTTTATTTGAGAAACTTTGAAAGTATTTTTCCCCATTTTTTCAAACCAATTGTATGTTTTAAAGGCATATACAAATTTTACTTTTAAAATATCAAAAAAAAAGATAAACCCCCGGTAAGTAGTACGTTATCTATATTAAAAAAATTTGGGTATTTGATAAAGGTAATGGAGAAAGCTATATATATATACAATATTTTCACAAATATGCTACTTATACCCACTGTTATTTTTGATAAATACGATAACGTCATTCTATGACAAATGTTTTATAGAGATGAGAATGTAACGGAGTGAAATAAATACCTTGAATGTGTACATACGTATTTTAAAGTACATGCACAAGTTTATTTAAGCAATGGCCGAAAACCATTGCAAAGTACTTTTTTAATGATGACATACCTGGTTTCGCATCCTCACTTTAAGGTAAATTCATTTGCCAACAAGTTGCTAAAAAGTTGACAAATAGACACGATTTTAAACTAGGCGTTTACTTGAAATTTATTTAGTTAGCTAAATGGTGTTCAGTTGGGCCATCGGCAACCGAAAACAAAAAACGCCAAAGCGACTGTACTCGGAAGCGATAAAACGATGCGCCGACGCTACAGTGACGTTTCATCTCCGGTTAAACTATGAATACATATGTAGATTTTACTTTCATTTTTAAATTTATTATTTGAATAATGGATGTTGCTTTAAGCTGCATGCCTCCAGATAAGCTTAAATATTCCAAGAAAATCGAACTTTGGGGAAAAGTATTAAGATTTTTAAAAAAGTAAAAAGATTTTTTTTAAAAAATCAGTGTTTCAGTCTTTCTTTTGTGGAAATATGTGTATAATGTTGAAATAGCATGCGAAGGTATTTAACCAGAAAAAACAAGTCATGTTCCAATTTGGTTTTAGTCCAATGATCCTTTATCGTTATCCTTCTTGAACTTAGAAAAGTGTGACATTTTTTGTGTCTGCTAGTATGTATGTCCGGGGTTGACATTGCATGTGCTAATGTCAAGTTCTAATTTGGGCATGGTCAGATGTTTTTTGACATTTACCCACTTGAACTTTGAAAAGATTTAAAATTAACAATTTCTAATCATTATTTCGGCTACAAACAGGCAATTTGCAAAAGGTTAACACTGAATAGTTTCAGGGCCTTGAACTTATTTTTATAAAAATGGCTTTTTTTTATAAAAATTCCTACTTGAATAATGTTGAATCACCCTTAGGATATGTTGCTTGCTTTTTAAATTTGTCTTTTGACGTCCTCTCTGTGATACGCAGGCTTCATAACCTCAGATCCCCTTTCAAAATTCCATTTTATTTAGTTCCGCCCATTGTTTTCTCGTTTAGGGCACACGCATTTTTTTACATGGGGACCATACACCACTTTTCATGGAGTGGCACTACCGTGTCACATTGAAGGTTCCATGATAACCGCCATATGAACACATCTGCGGATGTTTCAAAATTTGTAAATTTTACCAGTTCATGTTAAATGTTGAATTCTGCTTAAGCCGGTGCTAGGGGGCGTGGACGGTAACTTGCACTTTCCAGTACCGTCCATGAACAGGCTCAATCAAACCGAGCCTGCAACATTTTCAATTTTGCCGTGTTGGGCTTTCTTTAGGGATTCTGTATTTTATCTATTTTGTGATAATATTTAATAGTTTAAGGGCCTTGAACTAAGAATGAAAAACGGT